GGGAGCCGGCGGGCAGCCGCGGGGCCGTGCCGGGAGCGCCGCCCAGGAGGGCTCCGGCGGCGCCAGGATGTAGGCGCGGGGCGGCGGGGAGCTGCCGCCGGCGACGGGCTCGCCATGAAGAAACACTCGGCCAGGGTGGCCCCCCTCAGCGCCTGCAACAGCCCCGTGCTCACCCTCACCAAAGTGGAAGGTAACGCCGCCGGACGGGGTCGGGGCGCGGGGTTCGCGTCGCGGGGGGGACGGACGGGCTGACGGGCGATGCCCGATCTGCTCGAACGCGGCCCCGGCTCTTTCCTTCCCCCGCTTGCCGTCGGAGCCCAGGGCGCCGGGAGCGGGTCCCGAGCCTCAGAGCAGCACCTGCCGGTGGGAACCGACGGGAGGGAAAGAAGGAGGGAGCAGTGGTTCTGGAGAGCGCTGACTCCACGGGAGGGACGGGGATGCAGCCTCGGGCTGTACCCCCTTCGAGAACCTCTTCCAGGCATTTGTGTACGCCCCTGGTGGCCCCGCAGGCACGCACTGGGGGGCAGCTGGGGCTCTATGGCCAGGATGGCCATTGCGAGCCCAGCAGCAGGGTGGGCTTGTCAGCCTCTCGGGAACCGTGGGACCTCCGGTGGCTTCCGGGACCTTTAAAGGGGCCGGGAGATCTCGGGAAGGCTGCCCGGAGTGCCCCGAAGCTCTGGGCATAACGAGCGGGAGGCCTGGCTTGAGGAACTGTGGTTTGATGTAGAAAGCTGTAGGCTACGTCCAGAACAAGGCAAGAGATGTGAGTGACGGCAGAGGGGTAAGACAGACCAGGGAAAGTGGAGGAACTCGGAGGTGTAGATAAGGAGTTCACCTGAGGGGTGGATGCAGGACTTTGTTCCTGAAGGGAGAGCAAACAGGTTTGGGGGATCCATGGGGAGATGTGAGAGCTGGCTGGGAGAATGAGATCAGTGAGAGAAAAGGAAAATGGTTGGCTGAAAGGAATGGAAAGAGGAGAAGCAGATGAGGACAAGCAAGAGGTGGCATAGAAGGAGAAGAAGAAATCCAAACAGAAAATGAAAGAACAGTATGGGGTAAAATGTGAATATGAGATTCCATGGAAAGATCATGAAGAAGGAAAAAAAAAAAAAAAAGTTATTTTGAAAAACTAAAGGGAAAAGAAAAAGAAAATTTGTAGCAATTTGTCTGTGGAGAAGAAAGTAAGAAAATACAAAAATGCCCAAGGTGATGGGGGGAAGGAACTAAAATCTGCAAGAAAAGTGAAAAATCAGGAGAACTTGAGGGCTGTGATTTTGGTTCATGGAGAATGCAGCTGTTGTCTTTTCCCAGTGTAAAAGCCTCCTGGTATGAAGGTAGGGGAGTGGATCTAAATTTTCTGACTGAAAGGAGAAGTCTTGATTTTCATCACGCTGTAATTATAATTTTTAAAAGCCCTTGCAGTTAGCTCTGGTGCCCAGCAGTTTTGCTCCCAAGATTTGTATTGGAGGGTCCTCTGAGCTGAAAGCATGGCTTCCTTTCTTTTGGTGCACTGCACAAGCTTTATGAATCATAAATAATAATAACCCGCTAGATTCTAGCTTTGAAATGTGGGTCATATTGTTTTCCACCAGTTCAAATACAGTTTACTACCTACCTTCCATAGACACAGCAGAGCAACCTTTCCCAGTGCTGCAGAATTGAATCTTTTCAAGCATGTCCATGCCTGCTGTGTGCACCAGCTCTCTGATACCATATCACCACCCACCAGGGACTTTGTTGACCTAGTTGGGCTTTTCCTGCCTTAGTTTAGATTCTTCTTTCTGTAATTGCTCAAGGCAAAATCTAAATTGTTTTGATGGTTTATCATAGAGACCAGAGGTTGTATAGAAGCAGGTAAGGGTTTCCTTTGCTGTTTATTTCTTTTTAATGAAACTGACTGGAACTGTTTGAGAGGTTCTCTTTCTAAATCGATTGACAACATTTCATTTCAGATTAATACTGACTAATTTTGCCTCCTGGTGCTTAGAGCCATACAAAAAAGCCAGGATGTAGTCATAGACTAGAGTGAGACAGTGGGCGTACGATGGACAGCTTTCTTTGCTTAGTCTGTACGTCAGACAAAGGTTTGAGTTGCCAGATTTCTTTTGTAGCTGACATCCTTTGCAAAGGTGTAGCAGATGCTGCAAGACAACTTCTGCCTCATAGTTAGCTTATTTTCTTCCCTATCAACTACCACCAAAGACCCTTGGCAGAACCATGGGGAATATGTTTATCTGGAGGACAGTTAGCAAAGAGGAGCCTTTCATTGATATGCATTGCTATAAGGCCTTCAGGCATTCCCCCTATATTCTCCTCGTGGTGCAGTAGCTTCTTTACTTGAAAAGGAAGATAAGGACTTTGTGCGCCTTCAGGAACATGACTGCCATTTCAAATTATTTCAGAGATTGAATCATCAGTATGCACTGAGCCTGCTGTACTAGCACTTTTAAAGACAACTGTATCTTCACGCATCACTCAGGCAGGCAGTAACCATACCGTGTGTTTTCTGTGCCTGGCACCATTGCACACACTTTATATTTTGAGAAGTGTAGGCTCAGTGCCTGTTTTATGCTTGTCTGTCTTGCTGCTGATCATTTGTATCACTATCCAACTGGCTGCTTTCATAGTCTTTGTACATAAAAGTCCCATGTACCTGGAGGATTGTCTTCCCTTCCATGGGAAAGCAAAAATTTCCATCCCTGCTCTGCATCTTGGGGTTCCCCAGAGAGGTGATGCCATCATGAAAAGGTCCAGGACAATCAATCTCCTCACTTGAGAAAAGCCATCCTCCTCTTACTTAGTCCCCATGAACAGCTCCTTATTCTCTGGCTCCAACAGAAAGGTATGGCAGCCTCCCCAAGTAGCACATTTCCTCTGCAGTGTCAGGAAAAGGAGCTGGCAATACTTGAAGATGCTTGTAATGCAAATGATACCTCTCTGTTATTACACACGTGTGTCTAAACTTAGTTGCTATGGAGACAGATTCTGCCACGCTCATTTGGAGTAACTTTGTTTGCATCAGTGGAGTTACAGGAAATTTGTTACAAGTACAAATGGGAAATAAATTTGGCCTCTAATATATTTCCTGCCTGCAGGGAATTCATCACAAATGTATCAACACTGTAATCACTTTGGTAATAAATCTTTTCAGTTTCTTTAGCAAGTGCAAGCTGAAGATCCCAACCACAGCAAAAACCTCCAAGAGTGGCAGCATGCTTTCTTCAGCTACGTGATTCTAATTATCCTCATTTTGCAGATGGGGCAGCCAAGCAACTGCAGAATGAAGCAACTTATGTAAAAATGAGCAGTGCATCTTGTCGCAGAAAAGGCAGGAAAAGACTGACCCCAGCCCCAGATTTGTGCTGTGGTTTCAGGAGGGCACTCCTATGTGCTCAAAGTGCCAGATGACTTCTTTTACTGAAGTTAATGATTTTCTGCGTGTTCCTAATTAAACTTCCTTTTTTTGAGAAAGGAAACTAAAATACTGCATAAATATATCTCTGCATAAATACTGTGCTGCTGTTAGCAGCGTTCCGTTGGTGTCATCTATAGGTTTTGGCAATCAGACAGCGCTTGTTCCTACTTTGAGCACTAAGATGGACCCCATTAAAATTTCACCTGGAAGTAAGCATTTGTTGAGCAAGAATTGTGTCCAGTGATCTCTTTTTTTTTTTATATGACAAATAAACTTTGTAGAAGCATAAAGTGCTCATGTAGTTCTAGAAGATAGAAGTGGGAAAGGAAAAACAAGCTGATGATTCAGTGGTTCAGCCATGGCTGCAAGTTTGCCCATGCTTCCCCACCAACCTGGCCTTTGAAAGGAATGCATGCTGGCTCCTCCATGGAGTAATTAATTTGTATGATGTCTGCTTTTGTTCAGCCTATCTTCCTGCACTGAAGACAAAAAATAGGTGATTCTTTGATGTGAACATCTGTGGTAAGGGCAGAGACCATCAAAGCCACCATGTGCTTGCTCCACAGTTGTAGGAGCAGCTTTCACTCCCTCCTGGCTGGAGTTGAGATAAAGTGTACGGGGTGAAATTAATGGTGACAACGGAGGGAGGCTTTGCATATAGGTATGAAAATTAATGGGGTTGTAATTTCTAGCATATCTGCTTCCCCATTGTACCTGTCAGCATGTGCTCTGAGTAAAGCCCAAAGTAAAGTCAATGTAACTTACTCCTCTGATGGAAAAGGGGCACTCTCTTTCACATCCATGTACTATGTGGTAAGTGTGTATAGGCAGTAATTGCACTCTAGTTTCACCCCATGTGAACTTTTGCCCATTTTTCCTATATACCACAATACGTTCAGTTAATACAACAGTGTATCTGAGCAGATATCCAAGATCTTGTTCCAAAGGAGTGAGGAGTTTCTTGTTTCATAACACCTGGCACCCTTCCCACATGGCGCAGTGCTTTCTTAGTCTTTAAACAGTCTCAAAATGAGCTTCTCTGAGCTGTGCTAGGCTTACTCACTGGGGATTCCTGCCAGCTCATCTTTGATCATGTCCCACTCGTCGTTTTCTATACCATCTTGCCTGTGCAAAATCATGAGCTATAGGTTTGGAGGTGACTCATTACTTCTGCATTGTATGTCTCCTCCCCAAATGATACAAAAATACAAAAGAATGTAAAATGCTGATGTTACTGAACGAATGCTAGAGCAGGAGCCTTAATACATCATGAAGCAGAAAGTACATTATTAAAGATTTATCCAAGCTGCCTTACTTTAGTGGCTGAAATGAACCAATATGTATACAGTATGGACTAACAATATTTTCATTTACAGGGACAGAACATAAGAATAGCAACCATTGGATAATCTCAGATTTTCACAGACCATTGCATTTCACATTTCAAAATGGAGCAAGGTGCATTTTCTAGCCATCTTAAAACCATCTAGGCATTTGATCACAAAAAATAAGCAGATTACTAATCCATCTGTTTAATTATAGATTTCTTCCATAAGAAGGTGGAAAAAGAACTAGTTAAAAATAACTATGTAATTGTTACCAGCGTGCATCATGCTTTGTGTCCTATTTTGACAATTCTTGTAGAAGAGAATATTGCCCCTCTTTTCATAATGGGAGATAACTGCAGACAGAAGGGTATGTAGCACAGAAACACTTCAATATGAGAGCTGGAGTTCAGAAAAGACTAGAAGTTCAACATAAACTTCTATGATCAC